AAAAAAAAAAAACAAATGTACTTCTACTATATTTAACTGCTAGTTAGTATTTGATACAGATACAGATACGGTTACTAATAAAAAAAAAATACAACACATTTATATTTATATTTAGTTTTGTTTTAGTTTTAGTTTAGATTTTAGTTTTGCTAGCATATTTATACAATTTATCAACACGATGAAGCGCCTAGGACATAAACGTGGAACAGCTCAATCTACGCTATACTTAACGTCTCTCAACATCTCTATACGTTACCTATATCTATAATGTGTCTTATCTTATCGGCTTACACAGATTCAATCAGAAATCATTGGATTCGATTGAATATAATCATGATTTGTGTATGTTAGTAAAGATTCAAGTGAACAATTGCATCATAAATTACAACAAAATTATAGATTTTCAGGAGGCAGTATCGAATTTTATGATTCATAGCCTTTGATTCGTGATACATCAGTCAAAAATTGCTGATGATTTGCATGAGTCTGAGTTAATTTCTTGTGCAAGTCAGGGACTCCAAGCTACGATTCACGAATCACACTTCATGAATCATGAATCATGCAACACGTGACTCATAACTCCTAGTTTATAGCTCCTAATTCATAGCTCATGGCTCATAGCTTGTAATTCATGATTATTGATTCACTTCTCATGATGCATAAGTAATGATTCATTGCACTCAAGTTGCATTATATTAATTTTGATTAACAATTCACAATGATTTGGATGATTTCAAGACTGATAGCTTCTGAAGCTGATGATTCCAATGCAAAAATTATGTTAGAAATGCACAACTTAATCGATTCATTATTGATTAAATGTTGCATTCCCTCAGCTAAACTCAACCAGGAAGTAATTTGATGATCAAAATTGATTCATAACCCATAGTTGCCAAATGATTCATGACTCACCAACCATGATCCAAACTGAAAAACTCATTTACTATGTAGATTGAATCATTATGAATCACAATGATTCATGATCAGTGCAATTTACTTATGGTATTATGTACACACGGACGCAACCCGAACACGCCTTAAATGGGCGTGGGCATCAGCTTGCCGTAGTCCTGGTGCATGCTCGGCTTTACGGAGTTGTAGACGGGTCGTCCGCCATCATCGGGCAGAGCGTAGACGTCGGGCGGTACGCACAGCGACTGCAGCTTCGAGATGTACGAGTCGAAGTGCTCGTGCGGATGCGGATGCGCATGCGGATGTCCGTGCGGATAGCCGCCCGGATGATGCACCGTATAGGCATGGTGCGGTGGCGGCGGCGGTGGCGGTGGTGCAACGGCTGTGCCGCCTCCCTGATGCCCATACATGGGCGTGCCCGCTGCAGCGCTGCTCGCTGATGCCGACGACGCCGATGTTGGCGGTAGCGGCAGTGGCGGCGGCGGCGGTGGCGGCAGCAGCGTCGAATATGCAGCTGCAGCCGCGGCTGACGTGTGATGATGCTCGGCGCTCAGCTGCACGCCAATGGCGGCGGCACAGCCATTGTCCATGCCGGAGCCTGGCGCCGCGCCTGGTGGCAGCGTCGACGACGACGGCGGCGGCGGCGGTGGTGGCAGACGCACATGCTCCAGCAATGTGATGACATTGTTGCGCAAACTTTCGTAGTAGTTGTTCAGATTGGCATTGGGCGGACCGCCGCCGACGCCGCCGTTGTCGGCGGAGACGTGCGACATGCCGCTGGGCAGTAGATCAATGCCGCTGCCGCTGGTGGTGGATGAGACGCCGGCGAACGGTGACTGGCCGCTGGGTGAGGCCAGCGATGAAGCTGTGGGTCGCTGTTGTTGTTGTTGTTGCTGTTGTTGCTGCTGTTGTTGCTGCTGCTGTTGCTGTTGTTGATGTTGCTGATGTGCACTCAGTGGAGAAGCCTCCTGCAAGTGTGTGAGAGAGACAGAGATGCATTTGTATTAGTGCTTGGTCATTGGCTGCCGCTTTACATATGTGTATATATATGTGTGGGTGTGTGGGTGTGTGTGTGTGGGAGTGTGCGTCGATTGTGATTCATTGATTCAATGATACGTTCTGCCATTGCCAATTGCTCAAATTCAATTTGCTGAGGTGCTGCTGCACACACACACACACACACACACACGCACATAGAGAGAGAGATACACGTATGTGTGTGCCTGCAAGACTGCGTATGTGTGCGCGCGCCCAAATTGAAATTCCAATAAGAACGCCCGGCCAGTAGCATTCGAAAAAAAAATACAGCAATCCGAAAAAATAACAGCACAAAGGAAAGAAGGAAAAAAATACGTTCAGCAAACAGACACACAAACACACGAGCGCCTGCCGAATGCACACGAAAACACCTCGTGTGAGTGCGCTGGCAAGCTTGAGCGAGAGCGAGTGCGAGCACGAGAGAGAGCCAAAGCAAAGGCAAGAGCAAGARCAAGAGCGCGGGAGCCAGCCGAGGCAGCCAACTGCTGTTAAAGCTGTCGCTGCCGCTGTCGCGGTCGCAGTCGCAGTCGCAGTCGCTGCCTTGCCTCTGCTTCTGGGGCATTTTTTCTTTCCACATCAAACGTTTGTTGTATTTTTTTCTGTTCGCTCTCATAGGAGCTCGTGCTGAGGCCACAGAGGTTACGCAGCCAGCGTCGCTGCTGGCGCTGGCGCTGGCGTCGTAGCACAGTTTGCAGCGGGGTAGCTGACAAGCTGGCGTTTTAGGAGCAGCAACAGCAAATCGAATGGCGCTCTGCGATTTGCTGCCTCGGCATCGTTTCTGGTGCCGACTGCGACTGACAGCGGCCAGACGGATGAATATCCAGAGACCGACTCTATTGACTGGGTAGGCGGAGAGGCCCACACCCATGGCTGCAGCTGCCTGCGCATGACCACACACACACACACACACACACACACACATGTGTGTGTATGTGTGTATTTAGGGACCTGGCATGCGTAGAGTGGGAGGTGAAATATACGTTTTAGGGGTGGCGCTGCCTTAGCTGCTGCGCGCTGATTCGTCGCTCAATGCAGTCGACTAGCGGCTGCAGCAGCTGCCTGCAAGCGAACGCCGATTGGCTGCTGGCGTCGTGCCGCCATTTTGAATAACGGCCTTGCAATGACAAACGACAGAGGTCGCTGCACTCGATCATTGGCCAGCCAAAGCAGCAATGCTAAATGCCAAATGCGAAATGCGAAATGCCAAATGCAAGCATAGCAACAAAATATCAGGAAAAATGCCTAATGCTCAATTTCCAAGTGAAAACGGAAGTTGAAGCAGCGAAGCAAAGCGAGGCGAAAACATAACTTTGCTATTTGTGCAACAGCCAGGGCGCGATAATTTAAATATAATAAAAGTTTCGCTTGCCAGCAGACGTCGCCCAACTTTCTTTGGCCATGTTTTGGGTTAAAAAGTACATTTGCCAAGCCAAGCAGCGACGACGTCGACGGCGCGGCAAAGGCGGCAATGGCGGCGGCGGCGGCGGCTGCTAAAACTTTTGTTTGGCGACTTTTGCGCCGACTTTTCCACAATATTGTTGTTCTTGTTTAAGCTTTCTTTTATACTTTTTCTTCTTCTTCAGTTAGCTGTTGTTCTCGTTGTTGTTGTTGTTGTTGTTGTTAACACATGCCTTATTATTGCTTTTGGGTTTTTTGGAGTTTAGAGACGTCCTTGAAAAGTGGCCGCAACTTAGAAAAGCAGCGGCTCAGGTGCCAAAAAAAAAAGCGGCAACAAAAACAAAACGAAAGAAGAAGAGGCAACAAACTTGCAGACAAAGTCGCAACTTTCGCTGCGCAATCGCGCATGGCCAACAGCGGGAAGATAGCCTAGGTAATTGGCCCACTTAATTGAGGTTATAGCATTTGCTGCAGCTCTTACGGTCACTGTTAATGTTCGTTTGCTGTTAAAGCCATGTAAACAACTCAAAGTTGCACAAGAACTGTTGATTTCTGTGACAAAGCACGAATTTCAGGCTTTATGGGGATTATTACTATGGCTGTTAAAGTACTGTTACTGTTACTGTTACTGTTGCTGTTGCTGGACAGCTTGTGTTAATTCATGTCTAGAGAATATATACATAAAATTTGATTCTCATAAAATATGTTATAGGCCAATGCTTAGATGTTCTCTTGTTTGAAAATTATTCAGAATACATTTACATTGCTGTTACTAGCACTGTTAAGATTAGTTTTCTACTCAAGCTTTGCTAAGTTCTTGCTTAGGCTTTTCAGACAACTAAATGAGTCATTTTCATTGATCTTCATCTTAGTAAGATCATAAAAAAGGGTTTAATTTATATCAATATCTTTTGCTGTTACTGTTACTGTTACTGTTACTGTTACTGTTACTGTANTACTGTTACTGTTACTGTTACTGTTACTGTTACTGTTACTGTTACTGTTACTGTTACTGTTACTGTTACTGTTACTGTTACTGTTACTGTTACTGTTACTGTTACTGTTACTGTTACTGTTACTGTTACTGTTACTGTTACTGTTACTGTTACTGTTACTGTTACTGTTACTGTTACTGTTACTGTTACTGTTACTGTTACTGTTACTGTTACTGTTACTGTTACTGTTACTGTTACTGTTACTGTTACTGTTACTGTTACTGTTACTGTTACTGTTACTGTTACTGTTAATATATCTGCTGCTGTTAGTGTTCATAATTATGTTTGTCCTTTGTCAAGTTTAAATATTCTTTTTTTTATATTTTATTTTTTTTTACTATATAAAATACTCAAAATTTGTTGCGATCAACGAACCTGAGCCTACGTACCCGATCGCTGGTGCTCAGCTGCGACTCCATTGCGTTGATGTCCGACTTGAGGCGCATCATTTGGGATTCGACGCGTGCGTTTTCGCGCTGCAATTCCGATATTTCCGCTTCCAGAGTGTTCAGATCGTCGCTGCCGCCGGCCACATTGACGGACGTCTTATCGCCCACGCCGCTGCTGTTGCTGCTGCTGTTGTTGTTGTTGTTGTTGTTAGTGTTGTTGCTGCTGTTGTTGCTATTGATGCCAGGCGGCAAAGGAACGCCGACGCCGACGCCGACACCGACGCCAACGCCGCTCATGACAATATCCAAGCCGCTGCCGCCTAAAGCAGGAAGAGAGCAGAAGGCGTGATGTAAAGCAAAGAGCAGACAGGGAGAGTGAGACCGAATGTGAGAGAGAGAGAGAAACCGAACGAGAAAGATAGAGCGAGAGAGAGAGAGAGAGACTTGTCATTAGTGATGGACGCTCGCTGAAATATTTTTTTTTTTTACTCTTTGATGTGGAACTCGATCGATGTTAAAATATAATTTTATTTTCTTGTTTTACAAAAGCTCTCCACGGTTGTCTATGTGCGCGTGTGCTAGCAACTCAATTGGAGCTTTCATGTGTGTGTGTGTGTGTGAGTGAGAGCAAGTGAGCATGTGTGTGTGTGTGTTTGTGTGTGTGTGAGTGAGATAGCAAATATCACGGCTTACCTTGGGTTCGATTCTTGTGCAATTTGTTTGTTACTTAAATTCATTTTTGCTTGTGTGAACTTATTGTTGTTGTTGTTGCTGTTCTTGTTGTTGTTGTTCTTGTCTTTTTTGGTTTTTTGATTTGATTATTTTTTACATTTTTTTTCTGCCTTTCGCTTGTCTCTGTTCTATACTTTATTTATTTTTTGTTCTTAAATACTCTTGAGTTTGGTTTTGTTTTTGTTTTACTATTTACAGTAGATACTCGGCACCGATACAAAACGTCGCGTAATCTAAAAGAAATCATTTGCCAAACAAGCAAAAACCATGAAACGAAACGAAAAAGAAGAAGATAAACGGATTTAAATAACAATTTGTGAACGGTTGCATACATATTGGTGAATATATATAGAGTTTTCGTATAGTATAAGCGTTAGTTAGTATTTTAGTGAGTGTATTGCATTGTATCGGGCATCGAATTAATGTTATGCACCGGCTTTTTATTTATA